CTTTTGGAGTTTAAATAAAACAGAGTCGTACAATTGACGTGCAGAACCACTTTTCCTGGACAGGGATGACGAGTGAAAACGAAAGCAGAAATAAGGCGTTCATCTAAACAAATTTCGGAAAAGGTTTAGAGAGTCTTTAACAAGATGAAAAAACATTTTGCAAAAATGTCGACGATGGCGTGGAGCAAACTCGCATTGCACGCCTACGAAGCGAGACCACTACCACTATGCCACGTCAGCATTTGATACGGAGGCGACGAGTTCGCATATCCAAATAATACTACTGTCAAGCGAATTTCCAGCCCCCATAACTTTTTAAGGAAAACCATTTAGCAGTTTTAATTTCCATTTTCGTAAATAGCATTCAAAACTCTATCGATTTATCTGGGTCTCCATTCAAAGTCCCACGGTAAGTAGACTACCCCTCCTTGGTTAGTTTAATGGAGGTTGAAGGAATCCATCCACTATGAGTTGCTAAACGCAGACTAGATGGACACAGCTATCGATTGCCTCTATGATCCCCCTTATTTGGATAACGAGCTTAGAGAAGGACGATCAAACCGTAAATCAGGTCCCTACAGAGGGACAACGCACGTCGAAAATTCGCTCTAGACCTACGTCAAAAGTTCACCCGCCCCGCTTGGTTCCAGGTTACTCATCAATCGTACTCCCGGAGCGTTCCCCCTTTTAACTACCATGTGCTCCGCCTTTTTAAGCAACCCGCTGTGGACAAGAAATTCGTAACTTAATGTGATCCGAAAACGGCAGTCAATTACTTCTTTGAGTCACAGCTCCCTCATTCCTGAAGAGATGGTATCAGTGATTGGCTCAAAGGATAAAAGAAGGCTGTTGACTTCTTCGGTTTATGTTTTTCCGAAAATTGATTGATATGAAAAAATTTAGAAATGATTCAAAAAAGGTCTCCATTTTGTCGCAGGATTTATTTGCCAACCTAATAAAACCAAGTCGCTCCGCTGGTGGAGCCCATTCAAATTTTTATAAATTCTCCGGCCTTGAGACCCTTCGTCGAATTTGGGGCAGAGTCTGGAAAGCTGGCTGCAGTGTCATGAAATGTTTTGATATGTTGTGCGCTACAGTAATTAGTGTTCTTTCATATTATTTCTATGAAAGCTTCTGGAATATTCAAAAAGAAATCTGGAGTTCAGCGGAATTTTTGGCAGGCTCTTCCCAAAAAGGCTTAGTAGTACGAGTTAATCAATTGAAACTCCAAACATTGCTAGGTAAGGTTTTATTTATTGCCTGGCTCCGTCGGCAACAATCAAATAAAAAAGACCCAGTTGTTTGGCCTCGCATTTGAAATGACGTGGCGCAGAAACTCGGTCAGAGAATAGAAAACGGCCCGTCTCACATATATAAACCATCATTGACGATTTCGTAGAAGTTCAAATGCAGCTCGTATTCATTCTCCTAATTTGTGTCACCGCACTTGTCGCTGGGTGAGTGAAAACGTTCATATCTCAATATTTTTACAACTGCTCGAGTTACGTTTAATTTTCACCTCATCACTTTAACTTATGCTACCGCTGCTTTTTATCGATGAAGATCGACTCTGTTTTGTTCTGATATCAGTGGGTGAATGGGAATTTTTTTGGAGTCAACCTCAAATGTAAAGGATGGCTAGAGATTTAAGATTACAGTTACAGTTATGTGCTCTTTAGCTACGGATAGTCCTCTCACAGTGAAATCATATCTCTCTCAGTGCTAGGACTCGGTTTTGTTCTACGTAAAGCACATACAGTTGAAGGCACAATTGAAAAACTGGTTGCGCTAGAACAGCTTGTTACCGTTCCCAAAGGAAAAAAGTAGAATTTGTTTATTTCAGGGCTCCTCGAATAAAGCGGCAGTACTACTATCCTTACTACCAGTATAGACAACCGTTTACTACGTCGTATTTCCATGGTCAACCGGTTTACGATTCCGACTATGGATATGGTGGTTATGGATTCAACGATTACTACCACTACAGACAACCAAGCTACAGATACTATTACCGTCAGCCGGTTTACTACAGTGGAGACTACTATGGTGGCTACGACGGACCCTACTACAACGGAGGGATCCTAGGATTTGCTGGCTCATTAATTAGCAGTGTACTTGGATGAGGAAAATTGTATTATAATGTTAATGACGTATGGATAGTGGGTGGGACCTCTCACAAGCACGTGGAAGCCACTGAAGCGAGCGATAGTGGCTACAAACGGGAGGGAACAGATAAACAATTGAAATGGGCCAAAAAAAGGACAATTTTTCTTAGCATTCGGCTTAGCTTATTGCACTCTAACTGCTGGAATAAGTCTTCCGAGACAATGACTTGCGTACTTTCTCCTGATGGTGGACCACCTCGTAACCAGTCGTACATACTTTTCAAAACTAAGGCTGAATCAGTACCTGTTATCAGTGCCGATACCTCAGAAGTAGTCCACGAAGACGTTGTCGAGGGCCATGCACCCATGACGTGCTTGTGATTGGTGAACCACCAGCTTTAACCATTTACGGGCATGCCTCACACTCCATTCATTTTGGAGCTCAAAAAGCTGTTATAGATAGTCTGGCTAAGAGTTTTAAGAATATGGCTGTATGTTGTCTTAAAAAGTGTTTTCTCTGGATTCATAGAATAAATTTGTTTACCATTGTTGACCATCAAGGCGACAACAATCATCAGGAGGAGTTGGAAAAAGAAGCAGATATTGTTACCAGAAACAGAATAGAAGCAACTAGTTGTGTAAATATGATTTCTATATTGCTGCAGAGGGGTGGAGTTGGGAAACGTTTCTTAGTAAATGACCTTTGGAAGTAAAATCTGTCAATATATACTTGAAGTTTACCATCGTGAAACAAAAAACTGATCTGGCATCTGTACCCTCAGCAAATTCTAGCGCTCTTGATTCACGGGCAGCAAGATTTATGAAGTCCCAGCCATACACACACGCACGCACACGCGCGCACACACACGCATACCCATACGCACGTATACACAGGCTGCTTTCAAAGTCTACCGGCCGGAGGGACGGTCAAGTCGTGCGTCCGAGGGCGCGCGCGGCAAATTGCGGGCGAAATTCATACCTATTCTGACGACTTTAGTGCCCATTATTTGGGCCCAATTTTGAAGTAGAGTATAATAGTAGGACCAGCTGACCTTACCAATCTTACTTCATATTTGGGCCCCAATGATAGGCGCCGGAGTCGTCCAAATTCGTCACGAACTTCGCCGCGCAATTTGCCGCGCGCGCTCTTGAACGCACGACTTTACACACACCCCCGGCCGGCGCGCCGGCTGACTTAAAAATTAGGCCTAATCAGTTAGTATGTAAGAAATCAACGTCTGTTGCATTTTATTTTACGGTCAGAGCTCGACCGTAAGGATTCTGACCGTGAAATAAAATGCAGCAGACGTAGATTTCTTACGTACGAACTAATTCGTTT